TGGGCATGATAAAATGGCAATCACTACCTGCAGAGGAAGAAATCAACTCATAATGTAAGTTTACAAGCTAAAAGAAGATCTAATGAATTCTATGAAAGTGTAGTAGTCGTACAAGAACCAAGATCAGAGGAACAAGTTCAGTGAAGAGTTTGTATGGTTTTGTCTTTGGATCCATCTCCATGTCAAGGTTTGCAAGCACACTGGCCAGTGCCATTATTGCGAGGACAAAAGCCAGGAGGAGGACATCAAGGTACTTCAACTCAGAGCCTTCCTTGAAACCAAATATGAACGAGTGGTTCACTCTGTACCTCCTCCAGAAGTATATATTAGCAGCATACATAAGCATGTGAAGAACTATGAATCCAAACAAACTGCAGAAAATGTTTTTAGCATGGTTAAGCATATGTATGAGATTTCGTTCACTGGATGAGGCTGAGTTTCTGAAAGAAAATTTCAGCAGAATACAGTTTCAATGAAAAGATCACCTATAAAGTGGAAACATGGTTTCCATGTATTTGGTACTTCCTGGGCGATTCATAATCTTGCGAGCATCAATGATCAGACAAAGTGCTATGACTAGGGCTGCTGTGCAGCCAGCATAAAAACCTGAAAATCCAAAAAGCAGAAAAGTCAGGGGAATGAAATCAAAAGCCAAAAATGTACTTATTCTGAAAATTTCTGAATTATAGTAAACCATGGTTCTTACCCACAGAAAATGTTATTCCATGTCTTGCTCTTTTTGGTTTGGGTTGGAGGAGGTTCAATCCATTGTTACGATTTGAGTTGGAAAAGTGCTTGATGAATGTTTTTTCCACCCTCTCCATAAGCCTAGTGACCTGTGCAGAAAAGTTGAGCAATTGTAAGGAAGTTAGAAGTCTGCTGATTCATGTCGACTAGCTTTGAAGAATGTTAATGTTGTGCTCTACGGCTTTCTTTTCCCTTTAAAAGCCTCACCTCCTCAGAGCTTCCAAGGTAGGAGTTGTCAACCATGCTCATGTAAGCTTTTGCTGCCCTCCTTGATGTGATCTGAAGTGTAAAGTTAAAGGGAGTGGGAGGCTAATTAAATAAATTTCCTGTGTTGCCTTCTCTGCCAGTTTCTAGTTCTAGAAAGGTGAATGGTACCTTATCATATTTCTTCATTATCTTTGAAAATGCCAATGTGTTTAGGAAGCTGTTTAATTAACAAGCGCACAGGTTAAGAAGAACATGAAGGAAATTGTTTGTTGAAGGGAAAAAAAGATAGAAAAATGCCGGTGTCTACAACCTGTAGTTCTTTAGAAGTCGAAGCTTTCGGTAGAATTCAATAAAAGCTTGTTTAAGTTGTCCTTCAACCTTTTTCAAATTTTTGCTGCTGAATTCTTGCTCCGGTGGTGTAGAGTAATTGAGGACGCTTCTTATAGTTGAACGAGGAGTTTCAAGAGTGCTGTTCAACTGAACATGATCAAGGACTTCCAGAGGAGCTGGCTTGGTACTCGTGATATTCTTTGACTCCTCTGTTTGAAACTTCTGGTTATTTAGTTGAATTGTGTCATCCTTATTCTCCCTAGAATTATCTGATAGAGCATGATGGCTGCTGTCCTCTTTGATTGCCTCCATGGCCACGGAAAAAGTTCCTATTTTTGAAAGCGAAGATGATTAAACCAGTAAGTAAACTTCCATGGCAATTCTAGAAGCTCAAGTAATCTATAAGATGATCAAACCAATGAATGGATTCTATCTTCTATCTCTACCTTGCATGTCAAAAATCTACAAATTTAATGCATCAATAGACTATAAAATTTAGAAAGAAAGATTGTAAATTATTGTGAAACCAAGATGTGAAAACGCTTACGGTGCAATTTGGCCCCTTTAGGTGTCGAAGCTGATAATGCTGCTGCTGAAGCTGCAACATCTGAAGCAAGATTAGTCATCGCTACAGAGCTATTGATCCATTCGGTGGGTTTCTCAACTTTTATCCGGAAAGCAATCAAAGCTTCCATTTGTTTGTTTAACATAGCAGCTTCCTTCATCACCTCTTCTACTTTGGACCTATAGAACTTGTCCACTTTGTTAAACTCATCATCTAGCCTCCTGAAAAATACCAACTCATATTCTCCACCTTCTTCTGCAGTCATCAGAAAAGTAGTTTGATAGCTCTCAGATCCATCTTGGCGCACTGAGTTTACCATAATGGCTTGGCTCTCAACATCCTGCTCAGTGGGGCTGATGGAATTGTGGGGTTGTCTCTGAATGAGCCCGCTGAAAGTCCTGTAGAGTGTTAGCTTTCGCTTTAGGCTTCTTGGAGGTTCATGTGGCGTATCTTTCTGCTTGAAGCGCTGGACAGTTTTCAAAAGGGCCTTCAGATAATTATAATCCATGTATGCTTCCTTCCATTCTGGTACAATCTGTGCTCCAAATTCTTTCCCAAACTTCATTTTTGGCCTTCAAAGCAAAACAAACTACCTCATATCCGATGTGAGCAGGAACGAAGTTTAGGGTGGAGAGGAAATATTGAATGATCGAGAACTATAAAGCCCTGTGGAGAAAGTTTCTGAAATGAATGTTATTTATATGCATATTTCTTAGACCACTTAGATTAATTTATTTTCATATTCTCAGTGCAAGTATCATCTTATGAGTCTTTAGGATAAACTTTTCCTAAACAACAGGGCGGCATGATAGGATAGATTCGTCCTTGTGTTTTTTTCATCTTGCAGATTCTATGAAACAAATTTTCTAGTATAGTTAATGAGTATGACAGATTAAATCCAGAAACTTGTCTGCATTTATTTATGAAACATATGATATACCTGAGTTTGAGTAGTTATTCTTATCTCTCTTGTGGCACAGGAAGTTTTGATTTATTGTAACATTGTTTGTGATATCTTCAATGAATTTACACATTGTGCCAAATTCAGGAACCACCAAAAAGCTCTTGATTCTGATAGCTAACAGCCAATTCGTGGGATAAAATAGAGAAAATTCTTTATTTATTTCTCATTTAGATTCTTCATGTTTTCAGCAAAAATCAAAGGCGTTAATAAATATAAAACTAACTTTTAACTTTAGTACAATAAATGATTTTTCTCAGGTAATGCTTCCTGTAACAACAGTGCTTTTATATGGTTGTCAAAGAATTTTATAAACTGTTATCTTCTACATTTGGACAACAAAAAGCCTCGGTTCATTAAGTGGGGTTGGGTTCGTGTGTGTGTGTGTGTTGTGTTTAAACTATTTAGGTTGGAAAAATGTTGAGCACAGAAATCAAATCAGTCATATGAGTCAGTATAAAATTGATGTACCTTGGCTTTTATAAGATTTTATTCCCTTCAATCTCTTCGTTTATCGATTGGACATTACGTCCAGACTCAAATTTAATTATTACAGACTTCATATAAATTTGAAATAATTTTTATTAATAAATCATTATTTTTTCCGAAAATATCTTGTTTTATAAAGCATCAAATCACTCCAAAAATAAACACCTTATAAAATACTAGAAGAGAGGGAGTATCTCTTGCGTCTGGCATATGGACAAGAAATTCCTTATTCCATTTCTGTAGGAATCCATAGCCTTCAAATTCTTTCATATCTTTTTTCAGTTTTTTTTTTGGCAAAAAACCTTTTTTCCAGATAATGGAAAGTTACTGGTCATGGAAAGATATATTGTTAAAATCTGCCTCATTGAAAAGCCTCCAAAGCTTTTAAAATGATGGCTATTTTAGTCATTTGCATTTTGTTTATCTCTATTTCTTTTTTATTTTTATCATAGCAAACATTATTTAAGTTTTTTTTTTTTGGCCAATGCAAATACTATTTAAGTTGAAGATATCAAGATTTCGTTTACTTCAATGTTAAATAATAGTGACAGGAAAACAAACACGCTATTCATGAGATAAATTTTAAATTATATTTAATCTTCATTAATTTTGGACTATATACAAATAGCTTTTATAATTTTTGAGACTTTATAATAAACTTCTCCAAATTCTCATATTTATACAGATAATTCTTATACCATTACTTTGGTATATTACTTATATGCGCATAGTTTAAAGTTCAGAAAAATTATCTACATATCAACAAAAGTTTGAGAGATTATATGCATGAAAAAATAAATTGTTGAAGGGCTATATAATTGGTAGCCGAGAATTATATGCACAGGCTTAAAAACTTTTATTTAGAGATTTAATTTTTATTAAGTTTCAACGACTAAGGAGATTAAGGTCAAGAAAGACTAAGGAGATTATTTATATAAAATTCAAAGTTGATGAGAATTTTGTGTCGTTTAATTTAAGGTAAGGTAGAAAAGGTCTTCGTTTGAATTTTTTTTCAAAAAAAAAAATTCCATTTAATTAGGGAAAGCATTGCTTAGGCTCTAACCTAGCCCTTGATATATAAGGACTTACATTTTTTTATTTACTTTTTAAAATATGAAATTACAATATGCATATAAATTAGAATATCAATTCATGTTTCAATTTTTTTTTTAAGAATATGAAATAAATTAGGCAACAATATTAAAATGTTAGGAAAAAAAAACCAATGAATTAGGTCCCACTAAAATTTCATCTTAATGACCCAAATTTGCAGGCGACAAGCCATAACTGTCATAATAGAAGTATTTCTTTTCGTAATAAAGCAAATAGCATTGTACTGTCATTAATCCTCAGTATAAAAATTACTTAACCAATTTAAATAAATTAAATAAATTAGTCAATTATAACAAATATAACAATTTTTCTAAAATATCTGTATATCACATTATATATTAATTTATAAGTTAGATAAATTAGTTTTAAAAAATAATATATTTATACATATATGAAGAACATAGCAATTTAAATGTTATATTTAGAATTAAATTCAACTCCAACTAGCTCCTATATGAAGAACATGAGGGGATATTATTTACCGATTTTAGAATAATGTCATTTCTTGTAAATTTTATACTATAATATTGAATCTCACTTCTTTAAGTGGGCCTAAAAAGAATTGGGCCAGTAGCAATACCCTGTACAGGAGGAAACACTAGGCATCACGCTTGTGTTCCTGTTATAAAACAATTACCATTTCTGCTGGCAACCAGAACAAGCTTTCAAAATTCAGTGAGTCTGAGATTGCAATTGAAACTGGTATGACACTATACTAAACACATTGATTGGGAAAAGAAAAAAAAAATTAATCAATAAGAATGAAAACCTTTCTCGAAGCCTTGAGCTCCGACCTTTTTTTTTTTTTTTTGGCCTCCGAAGCCTTAAGCTCCAACCTTTTTTCTTTTTTTTACTTCTTTCTTTCTTTCATTCTCCCTTCCTTCCGTTTTCCTACAAAACTCGTGTATATGAACCTGAGCATTGAAGCCAGTGATCCAGATTCCTCAACTCAGCATCTAAAAAACTTTCAAAGGAATGCTGCAGTTCTGAGATTCCTCTTACTGTTGGTTGGGATGAATGGTATTTTTCTAGATTTCATAGCCCTTACCAATGGCACTTCATTAGTGGAGTTATGAGGACCTAGCAAGTCATCACAATTTGTTCCCCCACATAGACACTCTTGAGGGTTCGCGTAGAAGTAGTCTTCCTCCTTTGGCTTGTCTGGAATAACTACACGGCGAATCGGTTGTCCCATCCTCGTCTCGTGAGCTTGTCGGACAGCGCTGACAAACTCATTCCATGGAAGTGTGCCATTATGATGCATATCAATCAATCCTACGAGCTTTTTCCGATCCAATAGGATGGTTTTTTTGAAACCCGAATACCTGCAGGCGAAGTAGAGAGATGTGCGCTCAAATTTTCAGAAAGGAAGATTTGTACATCAAACCATTTGCAATATGGGGTAGCAAACGCTTACCTGCGATGACCTTCCACGAGTTTTGCCATGTTACCATAATAGGTAGGAATAAAGGTATTGCTAGCTACCGAAACCATAAAATCCAGAGCTGCCATCTGTGATGAATGATTCTGGAACTGCCGCAATTCATCACGATCTAGCAAAGTTTCCTTTTTCACCTAAGATAAAAAAGGATCAAAGTCAGACATTTGATTTAGACAGGGTCAACTAATCATAAAGAGCCTATATCAGTTTGCCATCCAAGTGGCGACAAAAACAACCAGAAGGGCATCAAATATCTAAAAAGTATCAAATCAGATATACGATATGGATATTTGTTATATAAAATGTAAAAGTAAACTTATTTTAGGCAGAAAGCCCTTAATCAAGGAGTGAAGCAATAGTTTCTTCTTCACTGCATGCAAAATCAAATATACACACGAATAGGAAAAATAAAAGAACTGAATAATATGAACTCACGATTCGTGGAAATGAAGCTCTCAGTTGTGCAAGTCTACGTTCACTGCCATAAATATCACCAGCTGCAATATAGATCTGCGAGTCATTGCCAATACCCAAAGCTTCCAAAACTAGGGCCACCTCCTCCGGCGTCAAAGGACAGAGACCCTCTAATCTCCTCTCTTCAGACACTATCTCCTTCTCCCTCCACCAAGGGAAAGCATACCTGAAAGACAAGAGCAAAATTAACATCTCGTGTCAAAGACATTTCTTTATATATCAGCTCATCGCAATAACCTTGATTACTATGATTTCTTAAAACTATAAGTGTGTCAAAATATGACATATTCAGCATCTCATATGATTGTGAATAAATATAACAACTCGTCTCCAACTAGAAGGTGCCGCCTCCATCAACACCAAGAGAACAGAATCTAGCAATGCCCAATTCTATATCAGCTTAAACTTGTTCTGAATATACAAGAAAACTCAAGGCACAATAAAGATTCCAGAAAATTAGTACTTCAACTATATGATAGAGAACACAAATGATATTCCTCTTGCTTGATCAGTGTGTCATCTGGAAACCATGAAATAGAAAGTAATTTTCTCAGCTAATTACAAGAGCACTCACTATACACACTAAAACATGAAACATAATAGACCTCATCCGCTTGAGTTCTTCAGCTTCTTCTTCAGTGCAACCATGAGTACAGCCTGAGAAAGCCAACATGTCCATCTCATATCTCAGATGCAGAGCCACAAAAGGTCCTCTCTCTTGAAGCATCCTAATCAATTTGCGCCCTAAGCTCTCAATTTGAGGAGTGAATTTGAGGGCCTGGAAATTGACACGACACCTAAGCCTCTGTAGATCAAGTGGGAGACCATTGTTTGCTAGTCGAGCATCTGTTTTGTTAAAATGTAACACCTTATGCTTCCCAAGAAGTGGCAGAATCTGCATAGTGGAGGCAATACCTTTGAATCAAGCTCAACAGGCAACAAGTGTGGAAAAAACCAAGTGAAAAACAAAATTGTCTCTACAGTTACACTCAACTAAGTGCTTGAAACCTACTTTGGCTGTAGCTATATCAGAAGTAAGCCATCTGGAAATCATTAAAATACTTATAATATCGAGCAACCATCTCTTAAAGGAAACACACTAAACCTATAACAATTGAATTGAAAAGGCCTCCATTAGGGGCATTTGTAATTTACCTTATCATCACTTAATAGCCTAAATTAAATGATAGTTACAATATTTACAATAATAACAACCCTAAGACCACTTCCTTTCACAATAAAAAACAATTTAGATGAAGTTGCCCTCTCGAAAATAAGCACAAAAATATCATGGCCTTCCCCTAGACGGACATATTAAAAAGCCAGAAAGTCCCAAAACAATAAATTTGAAGACATGAAAGTAAAGGTAAAGAATCATTAATCAATCATGTTATCAAACTCATACTGCTGCAAAAGAAAATGGTTAATTTATGCATAATATGAGGTTCTGGCTCAGAAATAAAAAATAAACAGACCTGTTCCAAGTAATATTTTTCGTTTGACCAGCTAACAGGAGGCATCTCGAGGGTGGTATTGCCATATTTTTTACCAAACCTTTTGGGCACTCTTTTTACTATTCGAACTTCATCTCTTAGAGAATCAATGAAATGTCTCACATCAAATATGTCCTCAAAATTACTGCAAAAGCAAAGCTACATACTTCAAAATGACGATGCAATCAGAGTAGAGGGCAGAAGAAGTTCACAAAACAAAGGATGAACCTAGGATCTGCCCAGAAGGATGTCTTATCAAGCTCTGGAACAACCAATGTGAGATTCAAAAATCGAGCAACAGTGACCATATCGCAGATCTGAAAAGTCAAATCTGCCAAATAAGCATTTATTTCAACATATAATACCAAAAATAAACTATCGAGTACAAACCGCTGCACGCATTTGATTCAAACCCCCATTGCAGGATACTCTCAAGAAACCATTACTTTTATAATTTCCTGCAATATTGCAATCACAAGAATTTAGCATCTATCAGAATGAGTAAGAGAAGAAAAATACATCATATAACCAGCATAAGCCTATTTATTACCCATCTGAAATAAGTTTTCTTTAAATTAGTTATCTCCATTCGAACTATCCTATTAACAACTACAAGGATTATGCGGCAGGATTTTCACTGAAGCCCATCTGACCAAGCATAAAGAAGATGTGATTTTCCTTTGGCACTTAGGCAAATGTCAAATATTTATATCAGAGACAGAACTCAGAAGCAAACGGCATCACATGAGTTTCAAATGAAATAGTACTGAAAAAATGATGCAGAAGAGAAACACCTAAGAAATGAAGAATTAGAGATAGAAATTGTTAGTACCATTGGGCAATAGTACCTTCACCCGATCCTACTAAAAAGTCAACACGCAAAATTATCCTGCATGCACATAGACCTATTTCATAAAACATATCTCTATTAGAGTCTTTTTAGCTAATCCTGAAGTCCCCCCGGGGGCCGCCCCGGGGGGGTTTGTTTAGAAAAAGGGGCCAAAACATCAGTAGAAGACAGATCTAGCTTGGCAAGCAGCCCTTAAAATGTTGGCAAATAGTCAACCAACTAACATTGACAAAAATAATTCAATAAGATTGTCTCCATGTTTGAAATTTTTAGGAAATCAAGTCATAAAAACAAGTTGATCCCCTAGGAAAAGAATAGCATGAAAACATGTGCCATACAAAATTCCAAAACTTTCCCATTTCTAACCTCGTGTGCAACCATTCATGCTCCTAGATGGTACAAGACCCCTAAATGTGCTCCACGACAAGCTTTGAAGCAAAAAATCACATTTTTTTCCCGATAGAATTACCAATGCAACAACATTTCGAATCTGATTTCAGCAGAGAAATCACTACAATCTATCAAGATGAATAAAACGAATTTCTCGGCTCATTAAATGTCCCCCAACTCCCCAAAGCTGCAATGTACTTATCATCCATAATCAAAGCAAACAAGAGAAGATGAGCAATAAGTCAGGAAACTAACTTGCGGGGAGAAGAGGGGGAGGAGAATGAACTATCACATTTTCTGCTTGGGAAGGAATCTGAACTTGAGCTGTGTTATGTATTCGACTAGTAATCCCAGAAATAAAATGTGAATTCCATAGTTCAGTAACTGTCACTAGCTGAACCAGACATGTCCAAAGCACAATGCTTGAGCAGACGCGAATGAACCAAATCCGCAAACGGGTCCTCGGAATCACAGGAGCCGGAAGCTTGTCGTACTTCACCTGCATACCCTCCGATCTACCATCCATATTCCCACTGCAATCGTCATTGCCGCTTCATTGAACCTCAACTTTCATAGAGTCTCCAACAATCCCACATTCGACAAATCAGTAAGCCACATCAAAAAAGGGAAGAAAAAAATTATACATTATTAAAAAAACCCATGAACACAGTACATAGTGAATCTGTAACCCCATGAGAAGCGTTACCTCAGGCACAAAAGTTGCAATTAAGTGAATCAGACAGTGCCGCAGTGAAGAAAACTGAATCCAGAATTGAATCTGAAGCAGATGCACCAGGCCGATATTTTTAGCCGATTGCTTCACAGAATCTGAACCTCTTCAAGAATCAATACGAAAAAAACCCTAAACAAGAAGAGAGGGAACACGAAACAAGACGATCCAGGAATCTGAAAAATGAAGAAATTTCAACAACCAAACGCAACGGCCTCGTGCATTTAAGCATTTTATTCCCTTCTCCAGGAAAAACTTCCTTTCCTTCCCTCTCTCTCTCTCTTTACACCCCGATATTAACACCAATCTCAACGGACAATCCCCTTATCTTTCTTTCAGAAAATTATTCTCTTTTTTCCTCCCGGGGATCTTCATGCTCCGAAAATTTATAGATGTGACCACGTGATTATTAGCCGGAAATTTCTGGTTAAGAAAAATATTACTCGTATTTATGCTCGGATCAACTAAAAACCAGAGGAACAGAAAACCTATACATACACCCTATATATGTATACATGCATAATTAATGCCGTCGTTATATGAATAATTATAATAAATGATCAAGAAAACACAAAATGTCAAGGAAAATATATAACCATGGTACGATGAAGCTTGTTACACAGTTTGGTTTTCCTTACAATGCTAATTGCTAACCAGGGACTTTGTTGAACTCGAGTGTATATAGGCTCTTCAAAGAATTCATGAGTTATATTTGGTGGTATATATAGGTGCATCCTTACTTAATATACCAATTTTGATAAATTAAAGAAACTGGGTTAATTCTTATTGAATTTTGATTTTAGTCATGCACTTTTAAATCATTGATTTTGATCTGTATAATATACTACTTTCGATTTTTAATATAAGACTTTGTTTGACTTTTATTTTGATCTGAAATATAAGAACCTAGTTCACTGCGTCTCCAATATTTATGTTTTTTCTCAAGATAGTCCTTCTAACAATGGTAGTTCTAACCAATACACTTGATTAATAAGGATATTTTAGGAAATACAACACATATTTATTACAAATAACTAATTTAACTTTTTTCGTTAATCTCCTCAAATTAGTCAACTAACTCTTATATTCCTCCGGTCCTAATTATAAGACCCAATTGACTTATTTGAGGAGATTAAGGAAGTAAGTTAAGTTGGTTATTTATAATAAATAAGTGTTGCTATTCCTAAAATATCCTTGCTAATTAAGTATATTGGCTAAAACTATCATTATTAGAAGGATTATCTTGGAAAAAATGCATAAATATAAGAGAGAAAATGGATTGGGTCTTATAATTAGGACCAAATAAAAAGTCAAATTGGGTCTTATAATAAGGACCGGAGGAGTAATTAGGACCGAAGGTAATAGTAAGGATTTAGCCTGAACCTAATGAATCATCATATATTTGTGTTTGGTTCTATATTTATCTTTATAGTTAAACTCAAACTAAGTTTTTTATAAAACCACCAAGATCAATACGATTTATAAAAGCCAAAATTAAAGTTCGATTATACTATAAGAATAAAAATAATATTATCTCATTATTTAATTCTTTTTCACTACTCACACACTTGTGCCTCGTGGCATGCCAGCACCGTTACCATTGAACTGGTTGGTCAGATTTAACTAAGATGGCATGATCTCGCTAAATTAGATTATATATCAAAATAAATACTATCTCCGGTTGTTAATATAAAAATTTGTTTAATTTTTATTTTGGTTCGAAATATAAAGTTTCAATCTATTTTGTTTTACTTTTTTATTTCTAAGATAGTCTTTATAATAATAGTAGTTCTAGTCAATATATATTTAACTAGTAAGGATATTTTAGAAAAAACAATATCTATTTATTACAAATAGCTAACTTAATTAGTTTTCTTAATCTACTTAAATTAGTTAACTAGTTCTTATATTAAGAACTAGATGTAGTATTAGAAATAAAATGGATCATGATTTTATATTTGAAAGCAAAACTAACCCCTTAACCAACTTCTTAGGTTTAAGATGGGAGGAGTAATAAAAAAAAAGTTATAAATTTATGATCCAAAGTTAAATGTGATTTACAGAGTAATAATCACGTCGGGGCCTTCTTATCTGAATTATGAATAATGCTTCATTTTGCTCGATCATGAAAAGCGGCAACCCAAAAGATTATGGCATTTAATATATTGACATGATACTGCATCAAAGTAAATCATAAATATTTCCTAAGAACACTTAAAAGACAAAATCTTTAGGATGAGAACAATATTACAATATGCTGCCATGGAAAATGTGGGAATTCAAAGGGATGAACGGGTATAAATTAAAATCATCACTGGAGGCAGAAAATAATGGTATAAAATCTGTGAAATTGAATGAAGCCAGAAATGAATCTGACCATCTCGAGGAGGACGAGATACCGGCTTTGTTTTCTTGTTGCAGCTGTCGTTATCAAAATTTAAAAGATTGTACTATTTACATGTTTACATTTCATATTCTGATTCTTGGAGGTAGGTAAGTTTGGAATGATTTATAAGTAATTTTTTAATTATAATTTGTAGAATATAAAATAAGTATGTGAGAAAAATTTATCTTAATTTATGTGAAATGTGCTTATAATCATGATGCCAAATGGGACCTTAGTTATATGGTAAAAGATATTAAGCCTTCATAACGATCTTTATAATTATTTTTTGGAAAAATTAATATTTTATCATTCTAATTTTTGACTCAATTATAATTTAATTCCTAAATTTTAACTCTGAGTGACCCTGTTTCTATTTCATTAAAAATCTTTTATGTAAGGGGGAGTTTGGATGCCCCTGAAATCAATTGAAAAAAATACTGCTACATAAGTTGAGATAAATCTGTTTTTTTTAATATGCTTTTCTTATATGTCATAAAATTATTTCTAAAAATTAAAATGCTAATCCAAATATCACTCATAAAGTCACCTCTAAGGGGGAAAAAAACAGTTTTATTAAATGGTGTAAACATTATCTACCATCAAACAATCACCTCTGAATCATTAAAATAAACCCAGAATAGAAAAAGAAAAAAAGGAACAACTTTATTGAAGAAAAAGAAATATTTGTGGACACGGCTAAATGGGCGAACGTCAATGAAAAGTTTGAAATTGTAGTTTAGATGATGCAAAAGTGATGGCTTCGCTTTTACGAAAGGGTTTGCCCCTTTTTTCCCGTTCGCAGGATCTGGATTGAGAGAAAAAGCTTATTTCCGAAGTTGTGAGGCAATGATGTCTGTGTATCGGGTAGGTGCAATCAATTAAGTAATTTTTTTCTCATATAAATGTTATTATCATTGAATAACATATGAATCCATAATTATTCTTCCTTCCTCCCTAATACAACAGCTTTTTCTTCTTCTTTTTTTGCCACAGCACTGATATAACAGCTAATTATGATATTTGATCTGATCTCAAATATAATATCATAGTCTACTTTATGTCATAAATTTACAAATTTTTTATATCATAGTCTGCTTTATGTCATAAATTTACAATTTTTTTTCTCAAATCACTTATACTGGTTACACGTATGAAAGGGGTTTTCATCAATAAAATAATAATTAGAAGGGTATTTCAGAGAATCAAGACCCATAACTCAAATGACATATCCAACACTTCTAGTAAAAACTTTCTTAAACATGAGATTATGAGTTCGGATTCATGGTAAAGAAAATACTACCTCTAGTCCTTAATGTAAAATCTTATTTGACTTTTATTTTAATTTAAATATAAGATCCCAATCTACTTTGTCTATCATATTTATACAATTTTTTCTCAAGATAATCCTAATAATAGTAGTAGTTATAGTCAATACACTTGATTAGCAAGGATATTTTAAGAAAGACAACACTTATTTATTACAAATAACTAATTTAACTTATTTCTTTAATCTCTTCAAATTAATCAACTAATTCTTATAATTAAGACTGGGGTAGTAATAAGTACACAAGTTATAATTTAATTAATTTTATTAATATTTCTAAATTAGTTATTGAATTTCTATAGTGACAATGGTAATTAAGAAGAAAAGGACAGGTAATGAAATTTGAAGGCATGGGCATTGTCACCAGGCTGAAAGGATAAGGACATGTTTGGTTAGACCTTTTAATTATGAACTATAAAACCATTTTTGTGGTTTGATTTCGTCCTCAAGTGTATTATCTAATAATAGCCAGATAACGATATTTGGAATATTATTTTATTATTCTTGATAAGTGAAAAAGACCGTGAAACATCGACATCCTTGGATCAAAGACCTGGCTCGTATCTATCAAATAGATGTTTAATAGTTGAAAAATATAACAAAACAAATTAATATTAAAAAGCCATCTCTCATTTCTTATATAGAAGTTAAATTTTAAAGAGTTCCATTAAACCTAAGAAACTTTCATTATACCAAAACTGCAATCAGGAATGGACTTGATTTAAATTAATTAAAAGATTAGATGCTTAACGAAATGTTTTTTCTTTTAATGTTGAGTTAAATGAGAGATTCCTAGTGATAATGTGAAACCATGTCCAAGAAAATGTCCCCAGAGAGGCTTGAATTGAGTTATAATTCATTGAGTCACTAGTAGCGTTCCATAATATGATTGATGACAACCTAATTGACAACAAACTCAAAAGGTGTATAAGAAGGGATCGGTCAAATGGGAAATCAATGAAACTAATATATTTAATTTATTTTAAAATTTTGTTGTTAAGAAAAACCTAAATTTGAATATCAATGCTATACGAAATCTTGCAAGATACTGATATTTTCTATGTACAAAAAACATATCATATCGTTTTGTCTAATAAACAGTAACTTTTTTCCCTAGTTGTTGACAATCAAACTGGTCTTGCTGGGTTGTGGATTTAAATATCCATGAGCACAAGTTCAAAAGTTTTGGAAGATACTACATAAGAGCTAGTTGACTAATTTGAGGAGATTAAGAAAATAAGTTAAGTTACTTATTTGTAATAGATAAGTGTTGTCTTTCCTAAAATATCCTCGCTAATCAAGTGTATTGGTTAGAACTAATATTATTAGAAGGACTATCTTAGAAAAAAATACATAAATATTAGAGATAAAGTGGGTTGGAGTTTTATATTTTTGATCAAAATAAAAGTCAAATAAGGTCTTATATTAAAGACCAGAGGTAGTATGATAATTGGATCACATGTTGCTCATCACTACTGGAATCTGCACACGCTCATAATTAACTAGTCAAGTCTATTACTTGAAAGGGCTGAGCACAGCAAGCCTAGCCAATTAACTATAAATTTAAAAGTAAACAAAAAAAACTAGAATATGGTGCAAGAAAAAAAATAAAAAAGCCATTGTGAAGCTGCTCAATGTGGACGTGAGGATTCCAGGGACATCAGAGGCCATGCATCCTTTGGGGTTTCTTGGAAAGGGTTTGGGAAAAGAGGCCACACCTCTCAAAAACTAGAGACCACTGATTCAATATAGATCGAAGAAAAAGTGGGCCCAATTCCAACCTGAGACCCCTCCCAGTGCTGGGCCTACTTGAGCAGCCCACTGAATATGTTAACCACGGAGGGGGGGAAAAAACGTGGGAAAATCAGTGACCCAACCCACGTTCATGAACAATAGACATTGGTCTTAGGCCTACTTGGTCTCTAAAGTCTACTTTTATTTTAATTTTAGTTCTTTAAATTTTAAATTATAAATCTTTGTCTCTCAACACGTAAAATTGTTTAAGTTTTTATTAAATTATAGAGATAAATATTTTAAATAAAAAATATTTGAGAGCCTAAAATTTATGATTTCAAACATAATAAACCAAAACTAAAATAAAAGTAGAATTAGGACCAAATAGGACTAGGACAAATGTCTATTGTTCTCCACGATCCAGTGAATCAAGTTTTGAATATTCCACCGACAAAGGTGCCTATCGTGCATGAAAATTCAACTAAGAAGCATTTGGGCATGTCTTTTTAAAGTTATTTAGAATTTTGCCTTGATTTATATATATACACAGACACACTACCTCCGTTCTTTAATATAAGATTTTATTTGACTTTTATTTTGATCTTAAATATAATATCCCAATCCGTTTTGTCTCTTATATTTATGTATTTTTCTCAAAGTAATTTTTTCAATACTGGTAGTTATAGCTAATACATTTGATTAGTAAGGATATTTTAAGAAAGACAACACTTATTTGTTACTCCTCCGGTCCTAATTATAAGACCCAATTGACTTATTTGAGGAGATTAAGGAAGTAAGTTAAGTTGGTTATTTATAATAAATAAATGTTGTCATTCCTAAAATATCCTTGCTAATTAAGTATATTGGCTAAAACTATCATTATTAGAAGGATTATCTTGGAAAAAAATGCATAAATATAAGAGACAAAATGGATTGGGGTCTTATAATTAGGACCAAATAAAAAGTCAAATGGGGTCTTATAATAAGAACCGGAGGAGTACAAATAACTAATTTAACTTCTTTTCTTAATCTCCTTAAATTAATTAACTAGCTCTTATAATTAAGATCGGAGGTACTGCTAAAGTAACTCTGGAGGTTAAGCGAATCATACAAGACCGTAACGGAAAGCCTGAACCCATAATTGAAGTGAGGCAGATGCGGCAGGCCGATACTTTTAACCCATTTCTTCACGGAACCTCTGCAAGAATTAATAGTACTACTAAAAAAAATAATCTATTTCAAACCTCAAATTTGGGAATAAATTTTTAGACTTACAACTTATTTTTTAAATCATTACATGCTTTGTAAATTTTATAAAAATTTTGAATTATAATTTCAAAATGATATTAATGATAATTTTAAAAAATTTAAAGAACAATTGCTGTGTTTAAATATGAATTTTTTAAATCCCATCTGAAGTGTTAAAAATGGAATTTTATTGTCAAATTGTGGGCACCAGGGGGCATCTAACAACAGAGTCTACCGACCCGTCTCGTCAAGTACTCCGATACCCGAATCCTCCTGACTCACCTAACGCAATGGTCTTCGCCATCCATCCTCCACAAAAAGGCCACCAGCGATGGCCATGTCACCTTCCTCACCAACCCACCAAGAAGCTCCGCTTCTGCGCTTCATTTCCTTCCATTTCTGTGCTGAATTCTGAGTTACGCCTATGGCTTCCACCGCCAGTCACTTCTCTCTTTCTCTCTCTACCAACCAAACGGCGAGCCCTGCAACCCCAAAACTCAGCACCAAATCTTCTCACCTTCATTGCTTTCAAAGTTCCCAATTCCTATCTCCGAGATATTCTATCGAATTGACCGGGAAATGTGTTTCTGTGTCGACCGCGGTTCAAGGTAGGAGCCTAAAGGTGTGCGCCAATTCGGCTCAAGTCATGGATCAGTTCACTACAAAGGCGGAGCATGGAGTTCCCACGATTGTTGAGGTCGATTTGGGCAGTCGGAGCTATCCGATTTATATCGGTTCGGGGCTGCTTGATAAACCTGAGCTTCTCCAGAGGTAAACATAGTAATAACACCGCTATTCATATTTCATTTTTGTCATGACCCTTGTTTATAGCGTTACCGCTTTGTCTTCATCTTCCTTTTCTGTAACCCGCGAAATTTTGTAGACCGAATTCTAGTGTATCTGAGTTTTACGGAGGATCAGTTGGGCTTATCATGCGTCAAAATGATTGAAAGCTGGAAGCATAACATGAGGAATTTTGTGTGCACCATTAGTGTATTTTTTGAAAAAGCGACTATTTTCCATTTTCTAAGGTGTTATGTTAAGATGTTTTTACACGTTAATGCTTATCTTATAGGCATGTTCACGGAAAGAGGGTCCTTGTGGTCACTAATAATACCATCGCACCGCTGTATCTGGACAAAGTTGCTGATGCTCTAACAAGAGGAAACCCAAATATTTCTGTTGATAATGTCATTTTGCCAGATGGTGAGCAGTACAAAGATATGGTAGGTCTAGTATGCTTGAATTGAGGATTGTGTGATTTTCGCTCTTGGCTTAAACATAAAAAGTGGTTGCCTATTTAACTGTCAGGACACTCTAATGAAAGTGTTTGACAAGGCCACTGAGTCACGGTTGGACCGGCGATGTACATTTGTAGCTCTTGGAGGTGGTGTGATTGGTGACATGTGTGGTTTTGCTGCTGCTGCTTTCCTGCGTGGTGTTAATTTTATTCAGATTCCAACCACTGTTATGGCTCAGGTATACTGTTGCTTCTACAATATTCATGTTTATGTCACCTAGCTCTTTGCTTGTCCTTCCTTTATTTGATATTAATTATTCTAATCTCAGCTTTTTATTTCTTTTTCTCATACAGTAGTCTGTACATAATGTTTCAGGTTGATTCTTCTGTTGGTGGCAAGACTGGGATAAATCATCCACGTGGAAAGAACCTAATTGGTGCTTTCTACCAACCTCAGTGTGTGCTTATAGACACAGACACATTAAATACGTTACCAGACAGGGAACTGGCATCAGGGTTTGCGGAGGTTATAAAGTATGGTCTTATTAGGGATGCACAATTTTTTGAGTGGCAGGAAAAAAATATGCAGGCATTGATGGCAAGGTAAATCGTCATCTAAGTATTGTTACAAGCTTGCAGATTGCAGTATATGTTGTTTTTATGCCATGAAGCTTATACCACAAGGCAAAAAATCTCCTGGGTGATGACAGCGGGTCTTGTAGAATTTATGCTTGGATATATGTTGACTTGGAAGAAACTATTACGCCTTTATTGAGCTTTATTGCTTTTTATTACTGTGAACTCATATACTCTTTTCCAATCTTCTCTTTCTTACAATTTGATGTTATGCAATGCAGGGACCCAAGCGCACTGGCATATGCTATCAAGCGATCATGCGAAAATAAGGCTGAGGTTGTGTCCTTGGATGAGAAGGAAAGTGGACTGAGGGCCACATTGAACTTGGGCCATACATTTGGCCATGTGAGTGCTGTCATTTCACTGTTGATGGTTTTTATTTCAGATTTCCAAATGGTTGAGTTGATAATGAGAATATCATCTTTAGGCTAATTCACTGGGGCGGCTGAGATATGAATTATTTTCAACTTTAGGATATAATTATTTTGTGACTCAAAGTATGAAGTTCTAAATGTATTTAAATGTGAAGGATTGAGGACGATAAGAGGCATAGATCCAGGGCTGCTATCCTGGGGTTGGAAGTAGCAGTTAAGATGGTGTGCAAGCTTATATAAGCATTTTTTTTCATTCAGCGTATACTGCTTTACATCTAATATGCACTTATAGGAGCGAAAATGAAATACTTTTTACTTGTTTCTTTTATTGTGAAAATAGCCTCAGGTGTTGATTCACGAATGGTGCCCCTTTTCATGCTAAAATTCTGCGGTTTATTTTAAATAATATGCTTTCCCTCCTGGGAGACGTGTTGAAACTTTGTAATATTGAGATTTCCTCTTAAAATCTCTACCCCAGACCCCAAAATTTTAAGACTTCACAAATTTTCTGTTCATTGTCAAACTATAATTCTTAAATTAATAATCTATGAATATGTGCGTGTTGGCTGCTTCAGATTTGTGTGACCATACTTGTAAACAAACATTGTTTTCCATGCGTGGTCTTATCCGCAAAGTTCTCCAACTGATTAAATACTCCTTCTTATGGACCTTATTTCAGGCAATAGAAACCTCAGTTGGCTATGGACATTGGCTTCATGGAGAGGCTGTCGCAGCTGGCATGGTACTTCACACTTACTTTCTTATTGTCAGTTTTTTTTAGGACATAAGAGCATCTTGCTTGTTACATCTGATCTACGTTGATGAATATTGTAAGTCAATGAACACAGGTAATGGCTGTTGATTTATCACATCGCCTTGGTTGGATCGATGATTCTATTGTGCAGCGAGTTCATGCCATTCTTGAGCAGGCAAACCTACCTACAGCCCCTCCTGAAAATATGACTGTGGATATGTTCAAGTCGGTAATGGCGGTAAGGGGCTGGTGTTTCATTCTCTTTTAATTTGAAAAAATAAACTAGAAACTTTTATTTGTCTATGTGATGATGAATGTTTAATTTTTTTGTTCTATCAGGTAGATAAGAAGGTAGCTGATGGGTTGCTAAGGCTTATCCTTCTAAAGGGTTCTCTAGGCAATTGTGTTTTTACTGGGGATTACGACAGAAAAGCCCTTGACACTACGCTACACAAATTCTGTAAATCTTGATCTTATGCATGGTTCTCTTTGTTCCAGCTTCATGCAATCATAGAGCAAGTGTGCTTTTTCCATATGTAATCCTGATGTCATTCGTGGTATATTGGAAAGGTCTTTCCCTACGCTGTAAAATTAGAAATAAAGGCATGGTCATGACTACTGTCTGAGTAGATCAAATTCTTTGTTGTTTCTTGGAGAGATTTTGATCACCTGATTCTATTTATAGTTATCAAGAAGCCTTATCCAATTTATCAAGGCCGGCTACATAAGTTACGTGACATTTCTGGGTTCTTTGAGTGCCTTCTGAGAAGCCTCTGTCAACAAAAATATCCCAATATGTGTTCTGTATCACAGTTATGGATGGTGTTATTAGAGCCAAAACCTTCCAAGTCATTCCCTTCTTTAGTTCCTAATTGAGAAAGGCAAGAATGGTGAAGAGATAATTCAAGCTATGCCATTCTCTGATGAGATCGCCATCGAACAGTTGACGCATCCACTGCGCAAATTCAATGTGCTGCTCAGTTTCTGTACTGCAATGGAAATAAACACCTGAACAATAGGTAAAAAACATGATTATATTGGAAGAAACCTATATGCTGTTATTAAATGTCTGCTATCACATTCTTTAGAGAGTAAAACCTTGGTTTGTTAATTGCTTCTTCATATTAAATCAAAGGACGGCTTACTTTGCTTGAAATTTGAAATCCGTGAACTATGGCACTCCAAGCAAAGGGAATACTGCAGTTAAAAGGCATATATGAAGGATAGAATTTGTGGACCTGTGATAAGCGAAACCAGAGAGGAATAACACCGATGATGAAAGACAGTGTTATAGACACCACGACTTTGACATTTTTCTTGCCTCCTTGAGTGTTCTCCCAGGCCATAATAGCACTTGTAAAGCTCAAAATTAAGACTTTGTACTAACCACTCGCACCTATCACCACTAAATCATATCAAGCGGCTTGTTGAGTTGTATTTAAAAGCAATAAATAAATTAGGGTATAGTCAGTTAGAATATTACTACAAGCAAGCTCAGAGTAACTATTTCTGCTGCCTTCCTATAGCTTTGAGTCTTCTGTTTCATCTCCAGCTGCAGATTTACCAACAATCCAAGTAACACAAGCACTGCAACACCGGTGCTTCCAGGCGTGAAGCCGAATATGAACGGATAATTCCGTGAATTTATGTGGCCATTTTACATATTTCAATTAATTTACAAATAATATAGCATTTTTTAATAATTTCTTCATTTCTTATATTTTACCTCTGGTTGATTCTTGTTGACATTTTTAAGTAAATAATGTTGAAAGCATTTTTTTTAATAAAAATATAACTATATGATATTTCCGCTCTACTAAGAAAAATGGTTCCCTGGTTTAATATATCGAGAAAGAAAAGGTAGGCCCAATTCCCACTTGGGACCCATCCCTGTTTGGGCCTAATTAATCAGCCCACTGATTAAACAAAATACGTGATTTAAATTTATTTATTTAAACAACCACGTTCAAAACTAAACGAAGAAGCATTTACGTGTATCTTCCAATCAAAAATTGCCACGTAAAGAGTAATTTTTGACCTCCCAAACAAATACAGCTTCGCAGGTTGCGAGAAGAGAGAGAGAGAGAGAGAGAGAGAGGTGTCGTCATTGGAGACTTCTGCTTACCATCATCAATTCCCAACGTTCACAGCTGAAACTTTCTTCAATTCTATCGCCTGCCCTTGCTTCTTCTTCTTCTTCTTCTGCTGCTGCTGTAGAACACTGGAACCTTTTCAGCTGTCACACTGAATTTTTCCCCCCTTCTATTTTCCACAATGATTAGATCAAATCTACAAGCCTTTCTGCTCCTTCTTGTTCTGGGGTTGTTCTCGCCTGCAATTGAATCCCTACGATTCGAGCTTCAATCCGGTCACACCAAATGCATCTCCGAAGACATAAAGAGCAATTCCATGACCGTGGGCAAGTACAGCATCGTCAATCCGAACGATGGCTTCCCCATACCCGATTCCCACAAAGTCACCGTCAGGGTATCCGTTGAAAAATCCGCAATTATTGTAGCCATTTTTTCATAGGCCTTTCTTGCTGAATTTGATTTTTGTTTTTTTTTTTTTTGGGGTTTTAATATCTTAATATGTAGGTAACTTCGTCTTATGGGAATAATTATCACTATGCGGACCAAGTTACAACGGGGCAGTTCGCATTTGTGGCAGTGGAGGCTGGAGATTACATGGCATGTTTCTGGGCTCCTGATCACAATCCTCAGACAACAATGACAATCGATTTTGATTGGAGGACCGGTGTCGCTGCGAAGGATTGGTCAAACGTGGCTAAGAAAGGACATGTTGATGTGAGTCACCTCTTCACTTAACTACTCTGTTGCTCATTGAAGTCTGATATAAGAGCTTGAATTTAATAAGTTAAAAATTAACCTGGTATCAAGTGTTGTGTTGTTTGGTGCGGTTTTCTTTTATGAGTTGCTTGTAGAATGTTGATTTGCAGGATCATGTTTTGTGTGTTCAATGGTTATCACATATTATCTACTATATTGATGATCCTGGATTTAGTTTGCTATTGATGTATCTGAAATCCTGTCTTCCTTTCTGGAGAAATTTTGAAGTTACTCTCGATGAAATAGTTTCTTAGAACCAACGAAGTATAAATTTTTGGTGATTTGGCTGTCTCAAGATATTGCCTAGGGTATGGCATCCTAATTGCTGAAGTACAAGGAAGAGGATTCTAAGGGGTGATGTTTAAGGGCAGGAGAGAAATGGTCATGCTGGTCTTAATGGTTGAAGTTCAGTCTGATTGGCAAAGCAAGTGTTCGTTCTAGTAATCATTTTTGTCTATTGCTCAATAATTTGGTAGATAGGTTGGCCTATCTTTAATATGAGAAAATTTTGGACTTGCTGTGGATTTCTAATCATGACAACAAGATTTTGCTGAGGGGAATGTTATTTTCTGTTTAAATTAAAGCAGACATCTATCCTGTTTATATTTAGGATATAGGGATAACCTTAAATTTTCTAGGTGATATTATTTTTGCTGGTAATTGTGACTCATTTTCCTGGACCATGTATTGCCTGTGGCTATACTCTCTTGACTAAACAGTAGCATGAATTTAGAAGCACTAAATGGTAGCATACTTTTGAAAGATAAAGGAGGTCTGTATACCTTCTGAAAGAAAGTAGAACAAAGATCGTGTACTCAATCAAGAAATGATCGATATATGTATTTCTGCTGTAAGACCTGTGATTATATATTATAGTGAAAATGTTGGATATTGAAGGGATAACAAGAGCGAAAGTGGGACCCAGAGATGGAAATGTTGAGACAGATATCTAGTCATACAAGGGGAAAAAAAAGATATGAATTGGTTGTGTACAAGGAAAAATTGGCGTGGCATTTATTGAGGGAAAAATGGTTTTAAAAAAAAAAAAATCAATTAAGATAGCTTGAACATGAGGAAAGTAGGCTACTAAATGCGTCAATTATAAATTTGACTCTATGAAATTTAGCTCTATAAAATGATGAAGGAGATCAAGGAGGACATTTAAGGAAGTTATAGTGCATGCATGATTTTATGTTAGATAAACATGGTTTTGGTAAAAGCCAGTAGTTACTTACTTTAAACAAAATCATGATTTTCATTGTTTCTAATATGAAACCACCAAACATGCACAATCGACGTCATTTTGCAGGATGAGACCTTTTGTTGTCGTTAGTTTTTTATGCCCCCATGTATAGACGTAAAATCTCCCGCATTCCTTAGACACTTAAACCCTCTTTACTCAGCTCAATAGTACTTGAGCCAAGAGTTTTGCTTGTTCCATTAGTTCCTGTAGCAGTAATCATTTCAAACACTACGACCATTACCAGGAAAAGTCCTCACTGTTTTCACCTTTCAAACACGTGTTAGGTAATGGAGCTGGAGCTAAAGAAGTTGTATGAAACTGTTAATTCCATTCACGAGGAGATGTACTATCTTCGTGCAAGGTAAGTAAGCAGACATGCATGTCTATGTTCTTAATTTAACACATTCATATTAACATAAAGAGTCGCTGTTCTAATTCCTATTTGCTGTCTTTTTGTGCTTTTGATCTTCCTCCAGAGAAGAAGAAATGCAGGAATTGAACAGTGCAACCAACAACAAGATGTTCTGGTTGAGTTTACTTTCGCTTTTCATTTGCTTATCAGTAGCAGGGTTACATCTATGGCACTTGAAGACCTTTTTCGAGAAAAAGAAACTCATCTAAAATCGTGTACTACTATTCACATCTTTCATTTTTCTCATGTACTCTTGTCAAATATAGAGGGAGGTTAGTTGAGCTAGAGAATAACTGATGATACAGTTTGTTTTACGGGTCTCATTGTATTTCCAAATTAGAATTATGGCAAAACGAGTTTCAAAATATTTGGTCATTTTCTCTATTTTGTGTTTGAGCAAATAACGTGATACATGATTCCCCGTGTTATGCTGAACGCGAAATGAGGATTGAGCCATGATCAATGGTATGCAATTGATCTTGGGCTTCCACAAATTTCGGTTTGATTTGGAATTTCTGGTCGCAGGCATATCATAATCATATTCAATCATTCTGTCATGCTCTTTTTCCCCAACAAAAAAAAATCAAAAGGAAAGCTAAAAGTTTGATAGAATAAACCAAATCAGATCTTAACCTCCAGATCAGATCAGAAAAACTGGAAACGACAGTGAGGGTGAACAAAGTTTATCCACACATCTCTGACTAGTTCACAGTCAGTCATTGAGGAGATATGCATAACAGTTTCCTCTCTCTGACCCTGAAGTGGGCACTCTTCACTAGTAGCAGTAATCCCTCTTTTAGCTCTAAGCGACTTCATGGGTAATCTCTCATAGAAACTGAAAAAAAAAATCTCTCATAGAAAACTGTCTCTTTTTTTGTTGTTACAAAAACTGTCATTTTATCATGCTTTGAAATAGCTTATTTCAGCGCTTTAAAACCATGTTTTGTATCACGTTAGATGCATTTGACATTTACTTGTATAGATTAATTTTTCATATTATTTTAAAAAGATTGCCCCGCTTCAATCTGATTTTATGTTGAAAATAACCAAAATTATGGTTTTGAGAATAAGCATATAACTATTTGCTTTCAATTAAACTATTTTTTTTTTTGTTTTGTTTTCCATATGAAATTAAACACGTACTTACAAATCATTTGTACGTTTACTAGATTATACTAGGTTTTTCGCATTGTTATTGGGGTAGATGAAGATAAGAAAAGTTATTAAGCGGGGCCTTTTGATTTAAAATATATGCAAAAATTTGGTCATTGATAAAGGATAATAGTCTTGTACAATTTATATAACCGATCTCATCTAATAAAATAAGGTTTATTGTTGTTGATATTGAAACTTGCTATTCGAAGTTTTAGAATAGGATCAATATGTGAGTGACTATATAGGATACTTCTAGATCCAAAGAGCTACAATCATCAAAAACACAGTTAGGTACAACCCAGTGAATACAGAAATCATTGCTGGGCCAGAGCTAATCCAAGTTGATGACAGCATCTATATTTGGCAAAACATAATGCACTTAAACTACAACTGGAGGACACCCAGTTGAATAAATTGACTCCCCCGATAGCTTTGACGGGATCAAATAATTAAGGGAAGTGAGAAGCCTGAGAAAAGAAATCAACACCACCCGTTTATCTCATTAGAAATTTAACTGATGAAAACAAGCCTATTGCCTTCGCTGGGTTTGTTGACTGGCTCTATTCAGAAGCCTCAAATCACAGTAGGGGAGGCAAGCACCAGAGGAACGGTGATGGCAAATAAATCATCCGAATTTGTGTCTCATTAAACTCGTTGACACGTATGAAGACACCAGGTACCAGTGATAATGTGTAGGTAGATTGCATATTCCCCGATCTTTTCAAGCCGTTGGCCGATCTCCAATAGGAAGGTCCTTGAAATTTAGGAAGAGAACAATTTCCAGGGATATTCCGAAGGTAGATTGTTTTCTTTGATCTTCTCAAGTCGTTTAAGGATCTCCAAGAAGGAAGGTCTTTGATGGTAATCAGCTGCCCAGCACTGTTCTGTTAACCTTGAAACAAGCGTGAAGAAATATATTAGCAAAACTGATGATTATAGGACCTGAATAGATTGAATTAATGAGTGGTATCCACTGCTCAACTGGTTTCTGGACCATACTTTTGTGACATAAGCACATAGGTAATTCTCTTTAGTTTCCCTATAATTGATACCCATCTATGCAAGCATTTCTCCTGGGGTTGTTTCATCATATAATTTGACTAAAAAAATCAGCATCCAACCATAGGTTCCACAGTAAACCACGGGTCCAGAAATATGGATTTTTTTACCTTGTTAATTAGTTAACTAAATTATGGGTCCTTTGCTTTGCATGGAATTTGAAACAAGTCACATTATCCATAACTTATAAATAACATGCATCCAAAGAACACAGCCTAGAAGAGTAAGGTTAGGGTTAAAATACAAAATGGCAATGCTTATTAATCATGTTAGATATATGTGCATTTGCATCCTCAAGCAAATATTACTTACTCTCGCAATTCAGGGATATAACCCTTTGCTCGCATAGTTGGCCTGCGTCCTTCTGCTACATGTTTGGCTCCGTCATAAGGCTCACAATTGGCAAAAGGTGGTTCCCCTTCCAGCATCTACCCCAATTAAAATGTCACGTACTAAAACTAGATTCAGGATATGCATGCATTAGACCAACTCTTAAGCAAGCAAAATTACCTCGTATAGTATCATTGCAAAGGAGAAGACATCAACCTTCTTATCGTATTTCTTGTGTTTGAATACTTCAGGAGCCATATACCGGTCTATATTGTATCCCAAGAAAAAAAAATAAAGATTTTTCTATGAATGAGTAATTACAGTTGAAGAAATTCTAAGAATACTCACAGCTTCCTGTTTCACCAGTCATCTTGTAAACGTCATGAGAATTCTGGACCTTGATAAGCTTGCTCAGTCCAAAATCTCCGACTTTTAAATGCTCTGCACTAGAATTGACTAAAAGAACATTCCTGAAATGTTAAGAAATAAACTTTAGCATGAAATAATATGACTGTAGAACTTACAGCTAATGTTCTTGAGGACATAAAATTTTGTCAATAGAGTTTAATAGCAGAGTCTACTTCAATTTATCAGATGTCATGCAAACTGAGAAATTGGACAAGATGTGTCATGGATATTAAGATAAGATATGCGTAAATAGGATACACATGGGTAACATACCTTGGCTTAAGGTCCCGATGAATTATAACATTTGGTTCGTTGTGAAGATAGGCCATCCCTCTACAAGCAGCATTTAAAAAAATTTTAGTATAATATTGAGAAGTCAGCGAAGTTGCAAAATTTCTAGTTCTAATTGCAGTTTTATAAACATCAATAACAAATCACCGGGAGAAATAACTTGTTCATATTCCTAAGCGCATCTTCGAACATCTTTCCACACCCTTCCGCCTTCCCCCACCAACCCCCCCACCCCAACAAAAGAAAAAATGGAGGATAACGTCACTTTCCTCAGCCGTGATTGACTGAAATCTAGCAGCAATCAGGTTGGAAGCAAGAAGGGGAGACAGCATCTGTTTCATCATGCTTTGTTCACGGATTTCAAATTGAGATTTCCGGCAGTAGATTTTCTGACTGCCAAGAAATGTTTCTGACGAGGATTTTCCTCCTGGAATCAGGAGAGATTGAAGAGCTCTTTGGAGCTAATGTTTTGTTTGTTTTTGTGAACCATTCATGCTTTAAAAAAAAATTATTAAAAAAAAAAAACGTGTCCGCGTTCGACACACATAGAAAATTCATATCAGGAACCTCGCGACACTTTAAATTACATGTGGACACTTCAGGGTTCTTCGTGGGCACTGTCCGGGTCAATGTCTGTCTTTTATATTTTTGTTTCATCTGTTTGGTTCTATAGGGAGATTTATTTCCTCCTTCTATGTACTTCTCTTTTCTGCTTCTAAATAATTTTTTCCTATGGAGAGTTTAAGAAGGTAGGACACTACCTGGCAATATCTAACGCAAAGTTGACAGCTGTCGATGGACTAATTGAACCTTTTTCCTTAAGATGCTGATGAAGATCGCCCTAAAATTGACATGACTGAGTAATTTACTCAAGTTTACCTTTCATACATAAATTTATAAGATCAGAAGCTAGATTAGAGTGCCAAATCAGAAGAAGAAATGTGCATTCATATACCCCTCTAAGATATTCAGTGATTAACATAAGAGGTTTCTTCTCGGTAACAGCTCCAAGAAACTGGACTACGTTTGGGTGTCGAAGCTTCACTAACAAATTAACCTCATGCCTGAAGTCCTGGCTGCATTGAAAAATTAAATAATTTAAGCATAAGTGATCTATATGGAAAATCTATATCATTGAATTTGATGCAAAAGAACAAGCTTAACTAGTCTCTGTGCCTACCCTTCCCCACAAACGAAAGCCTAATATCATCAACCAAAACAACGTAGTTGAATCGGTTCCCTATTGCCCCAAGCAAGACTTGAAAAATGATATGTAAAATCAAGTCTTTAGTTTTAACAGATTCTTCGGTCATATGCAATCAGATACTATTAGCATCACGCGTCTCCAAAAATTAGTCGCAAACTGATTCCAAAAAAAAAAGAAACAAAGAAAGGTAAGTAAATCTTACACCACTAATTTATCATCTGAAAGAGATGGAAGAATGCGTTTGACAGCAACTGGTGTCCCACGCCAATGGGCTTTTAAAATCTCACCAAAAGATCCCTGAATCATGACCAGTAAAGCTCATTTTTGCATGCTAATTTAGTTCATCAATAGTGTAAATGCAACGTGGATAAAATAGTTATGCAAAATTACAAGAATAACAGCAAGAAAGTCGGGGTGCAAACTAGAAGTTAATTGATGCAAAAAACCAAAGCATCTTCTAACGATGAGTACAATATTCAAGGGGAACAATATAAACAGCAAAGCCAAACACAAGTTTAGATAGACTAGTGCCAATAAACTGTGTTCGAAAGGCCAGATTACATCATGGGAAACGGGCAGCCTTACAACTACAAAATGTACAATCACTAGGTCTTAAAGCATAATAAAACGAAAATTTTAGAACTACGCATGATATGAAACAACTGCAAACCCAATGCCTTGCTGCACAAAAAAAGGTTGAATAATGCACATTGTAAGTTTCCAAATCAGTTGGCATGATCTTGATACATTCAATGTTGCTAACACCAAGAAAATGTCAAGACACCTTTCCAATACGAGCTGAATGTGAGAAGTCCAGCTCAGTAGGGTCGACTTCCCAATCACACTTGTTAGACAATGGGGGTGCAACGGGCTTCTGTTCAGAGTGGCTTCCACTTTGGCCCTGTTCCATCAAATGTAAGATTCAGAAAAACAAATAAATAATAAATCAATAAA